TTTACTTGAGTACATTTTTGTCTGTGTATTTGTACTTTTACTTAAGTACATTTTTTGAGTACTTTCTCCACCACTGCCGATAAGTCATTCTTCTACTTTAACAATCATGCCCTACCATGTGCTCGTCTGTCACAACAAATACCATAAATTTCAAGGCTGCAACATAAGAAAGCAAGAAAATATGATATGGTTATGGGTATTCTTCCAGTACGCTGAGAACAACATCTTTGTGGTGCTGTTTGTCAAACATTTGTCAATATCAAGTTTTCGTTCTGTCAGTGACTTTCATTATAAGGAGAAATCCTGACCCCTAGTGGATGTATGTGGAAAACTGCAACTTCAATGAGTAAACCTTTGTGTGGGAATTTATATTAAAACAGTTCCAGTTTGTATTTTATGGGGAATAAAATAAATTAAAAAAAAATCCCCACCCCCATAAGCAACCACAATTATATCTTAGGAGAAAACAGTGTTTGCAGTGACTAAAAGTCACCAGCAGAGGATGTAGATGTAACAATTGTTATGTGATAATATAAACATCCTCTAAGAAATGGCAGATTGGTATCGCTCACTCAGCCATTTGTCTTAACATATATTATGTTAGGATTTACAGAGTAAGGAAAGAACAGAGGAAGATGTGAAATATGATAATTAGGAATTTGGTTAGAGTGTGTCAGACTGCTCTTTTTGGTCAAAATATTGCTGACAGACTAGTGGAAAAATAATGTTTCACTTTTACTTTAATGGACAAACAAAATAAGATTGGGAATTTCCTGTCAACAGAGCAATTTTCAGAATGTGACTGTGCTGGGAATACACTGAGAACAAAAGCTTTCTGTGAAGTGCCAAACGCCACAAATAGCCCCATTCTTTCAAGATGAAAGATTTCAATCACGCGTCGGCCCACTGGAGTGGTGGTGGAACGGAAAGAGCATTTTATTGTGATGTGTGACCTAAACTGCAAAGTTCTGCTTGCTTTCATAGGAAGACATATGTTGTCAATGTAACAGTGTGCTGCTGGAGCAGGCTGCCTCACCTGCAGGTGCAGCTACAGCAGGAGCAAATGCAACACCTGCAAGAGGAGAGAAATAGCTCAGCAAAACAAGGACAGGTTGTCTCTAAAAACAAAAAGTGTATGTTTCAACTTTTGTTTTGAAGTTTACACCCATAAATTTCCCACATTTTAAGATTTTTTAAGTGACCACATGCCTCCCTGGTATCCAGGAGGAGCAGGGGAGAAGCCTGGTTGAGCGGGGAAGCCAGGTTGAGCGGGGAAGCCAGGTTGAGCGGAGAAGCCAGGTTGAGCGGGGAAGCCAGGTTGAGCGGGGAAGCCAGGTTGAGCGGGGAAGCCAGGTTGTGGCGCAATACCGCCATAATTCATTGGAGGGCCAGGGTAGGGTGGAGCCATATCCTGTGGTTGGGTTCCTTTTTCCATCTTCAGAAATTCCACCTGTAAAACAAATATGATTTATGAAACCACTATATAAAAGTTAATGATTAAAACCACAGACTGTGGCATTTCTGGTATGATACAGAAAGCACAAACAAAGCAATGCAAACTCATTTGAACATTAATTATTTGTGTCACTGAAACTGAAGTTTTGATCCTAAACATGTGAAAGGAGAAGTGAGAGCACATGCTTTGTAACATACAAACCTGATACAACTGACAGTTTCGAGTTTTGAGTGAAAAAAAGGGGCTTCATGTCATGCGATGAAGGTGTGTGAAGACGCCTCTGAGCTGAAGACCAATAGATGGAGGATGTAAGACATTTTTTATAACCATTTAACCAAAGTGGTGGAAACTGTACATTTTGAACTGCATCCTCTTTTACTATTACTCACATGCTCTGTTTTGTTTTTGTTTTTTGTTTTTTTTTGCAAAAGTAGATTTAACAGCATTGACTCTGTTTCTGAGTTGTTCAGTTTTTTCTTGATAATAGATGCAGGGAAATGTGAGCGTAGCTATATCCCACTTTTGAACGACAAGGCACAGTCAGACAAATTACTAATCCCAAAGGTCCATCCGACATCATGAATTCCCCATGACATTTAGACTGAGGGCGGAAACAGATACTCAGAAACGTGATGTTTCAAGTCTCTTTAATGTCTTAGATATTTTCTGCTTGAATGCATCTGTTTTAAATAATGTGGCCTCATATAAAACTTGGTAACTTGGTGTCATCTAAACATTTAAGCCCAGTTTGTGCATGAAAGGCTTTGGGCCGTAGTGCCTCCCTCTGAGTGAATGCAAAGGGAGCCCCATTATCAAAAGGAGAACATATATTTTTATCAAGGGTATGCATCATTTATATAATGTTCATATTAGTTTATCTACTAATATAATGGACATTATTACATTTTTTTTTAACAAATGTGTCAAACCAGTATTTACTGTTTATGTTTTGCTACTGCTTTTTGTCAGGCTTCTTAAAATGCCTGTGGCACTGAACCAAAGCCTGGCTCAAAGGAGTTTCGCTAAAGAAGAAAAACATTTGACTGAAACTTTCGTTATCAGCTTCCATTCTTTCACAGTAAGTAAGACAAAGTTTCTATTTTGCCAATACAAAGGACAATCATCCCAAGCTTGTCCCAAAGAGACACTGTAAAAGACTGTATACTGGTTTTTCTCCGTTTATGCAATATGGGAGGCTTTTTTCAATTTCCTTCTGGGGATTTACAGTGGCATTTTGTTAGAGGGTGTAACCGATGAGTGGAAAATACTTTAGACCTTTAGACCTTTTTAGGTAACACTTTATTTGAAGGGATGTGCATAAGACTGACATGACACTGTCATAAAGATGATATAAAGCCTGTCATAAACATTCATAAAGACTTCTTTATGTTCATGACAGGCTTTATGTCATGTTTATGACAGTGTCATGTCAGTCTTATGCACACCCCTTCAAATAAAGTGTTACCTCTTTTTATTTTATATAGAGAGAATATATAGCATTTCATTGACATTTTAAAAAGAAACATGCATAATGACAGATTGTATATAAAAAATGTAAATGTAAAATTCCATGCTGACCATGCTGATTTCTTAACTCTGGAACATTAATAATGTTCCTGGGTCAACTTGACCAGTAAAATGTTTAATCATGCAGTACTATCAGAAACCCCCCTACCCAAAAAAAAAAAAAAAATCCCCAAGACATTTTTGTATCCAAAACTCCAATTCTAACCATTTCAGTCTATATTTGTGCATTGATGTTTTTTTTTCTCTCACAGATAAAGAATCAATGACAACAATTGACGCTTTTCCTTAAAAATGTTCATTATAGTTTTTATGTCCACTGAAAAAAAACCTAGACACAAAAAACAATGATTATTCTTGAAACTGACTTTCTTATTTATTATTATTATTTTAGATTTTTTTATATCCAATTTTATTTTTTTATTTATTTTTTTAAGGAGTTAACTTTATATTTGAACTTGAGACACCCTGTTCTGTTCTGGGTCAAACTGACTGATTAAAAGTCAAGACAAATGAGTCATGAAGATTTGTATTGAAAGTAAACTTTATTCAACCACTGTTTTTGAACCACAAATGAACAAAACAACAACAAAATAAGATATTAGGAACACGAACACAGTGCATGTATGTCTGTGAATCTCTGCAGCCCACAAGTAATCTGTCACCATGATGTGATAGTAAACAATGTGCAACGAGTACATTCTGAAATGCCACAAAAATGGATTGATGGAAATGAACTAGAGGGTTTAGTTTTGTCATCTACAAGGCACATGAGGGACATGTCATCACAGTGCGCTTTGTGCAAATGAATTTTTCACATTTCACACAAGTCAAGGTCATCTTGACTTCATCAGAAGGCTTTAAACCTGGCACCTCCTCCTCTTCCTTTTTCCTCCCGTAGCAACCTCAAAAGAAGAATAAAATGGTTACTATGTTTTTTGATACTCCTAAGCCACACACAACATGCTCCCACACAAACACACACTTTTACTTACCTCGTGCATTGCTATACTGGTTGTAGTCCTCTCCTGGATCTCCTCTATTATTGCAGTAGTTGCTGTTTTCGTTGTGGTACCACAAGCGCCTTGCCCACCTCATCTAAGAAAATGCGCCTCTGGTACAGCTTTGACACATTCCACTCCGGAAAGGTTTCCGCCCAAATGACAAACGTGTTGTATGCTGATACATCAGTGCTGATACATCAGTGATGTAAGCGATGACCAATGACTACGCATTGGCGTAAATGACACACATGACCCTGTGACCTTGTCCAAGTTGTCTACCCCTCCTTCATAGTTGTTTCCGTCATAGTTGCAAGGAAATAAATAGTAGTGGACATTTTTTTTTTACTGTTTTTATTTTTTGCTATGTCTGTGGACCAAGAAGAGGCACCAATTTAAATGCTGGTAGCAGATGAAGCTTAGTATTTATTTTTATGAAACATGAAACTGTTTAAGGAAACAGTTTCATGTCACGCTTAACCAGACGTGACTTAATTGTTTTCTAAATATACAAACCCTAAAATGAACTTAATATCCTCTTTTTCACCTTTAATTGGTAGTTCCCTTCCCTTTTTTGTTGTGCTCTCTGTCACAAAACGCTATATGTTGACATGGAGAAGTCAATTCTACTTATCAGGGTGTTACATAAGAGGCCTGATTTCTTTTTTTTTTTCTTTTTTCGTTTTGTTCCCATTGCTGAAGTTTTAAAAATTTAACTGGTGTATATGAAAGCTGTCTAACTTTTGTTTATTGTATTATTTTACGTAGCTGTTATTATCTAACATTTCTTCTTCAAATAGCACATGTTTTTAACCGAAGTACTTAAACTGTACTATAATATGACTTCAAAATTGTTAGAGAACAGCTAAAATGATACGCAAAATGGAGAAACACCGATGGCAGTATGCAGCAATAGTAAGGAAGTAATTTACTCTGTAAGTCATTTACTTTGTGGGAGAGGCTCGAAGTTGGAGCTTTAGAGCACTTTACCCATCTTGACCACCGTTGTTTGTCCAAACAATAGTGGGTAAGTGCTTTCCTGGGAGTATAGCAGTGCAAACAGGCCTACTCTATTAGTGCAGATCATTGTAAATTCATCCTAAATCAATTAGAGCAACATGAGCAAACTCCTCATGAAGCAACCTCTGTCAGTAGAGCATTGTGTATCTGCCTCGCCCTGTTTGGTTCAGGAGATATGGCCTGTTTTTTTTTTTTTTACTGTACTCAAATATAAAAGCAGTAGAAAACACCAATAGGAATTACTATAACAGCAGCAGCTCAATATTAGGAGGGTAGAAGAATAAAATTGGTTGAACTTACCAGTAAATTTCAATTAGAAAAATCAGCAACAAAGGAGAGCGATACGTTTTTTTTTTTTTCTGTTAAGTCTGATCCTTTATGGTGAGGAAGTGCAGGAAATCCCAGACTAAATAACAGCTTATAGAACCAAGATCTGCCTTTCACAGATCGGTGGTTTTTACCAGAGCCGACAATGTTCCGCCCTCTTTTATTTCCCCTCCTCCCATGTGACTTGGACCAGAGAGCAATAAAAAGAAACAGTGACATATTCAGGTTAAAGCTTTTCAAATATAAATCTCTCATTATCAAATCAAATCAATTCAATAATGGTTACATGTTCAGTGGATTTCAACATTTTTTAAACAAGCTGAAATGTCTTATAACCCTCAGTGCTTTACCCCTTGCACTCATATCAATACTTGTCAGTTTCCCCACTATGGCCACAACTTTGACAACTTAAGTGAAAATGATTCATCTTAACACATGATTTTCCTGTGACAGCAAAACAGGCTGAAGTGCTTCAAAGGTCACAGGACTGTCATGGAAACCTCATGCTAATCACCAGGGAGTGAATTGCAAATTAAAATACAATATTTTCTATGTTAAGCAAGAATAAATTACCTATTGTTATTGTTTTAGAAATGTTTTGCAATTATTACAAGATGAAAACAGGTAGCTTTTCGTTGTGTCTCTGCTTATATTAAGTTTCAGTAGAGATGGGTAGTAACTAGTTAAATGTACTCTGTCAGATTTCCTTGAGTAAGTTTTTTTGGCGGGGGGGAAAAAAAAAACTAATTTTAGGAGTAGCTTTATTGCACTCTGATATTTAATTTAACTCGAGTAACATTCTTCATAAAGCATAGGTACCGTCTCGTGAACAAGTGTTTTGTGTTCTCTGCATTTAAAGTTGAAAGATGGAATTAAATAAATAAAGTTTCCATGATATTTAATGCAATCATGAGTAACACAAAGTGCCTCCTATTAATCAATAGCGTGTAGGACAAGCTTAACCTGCAGTAATTTGAAGTAGCTGACTACTGCTTGACTTTGTCAGTCTCTCTTGTTTTTGAGAAATTTTGTCCCATTTGTCTTTGCAACATTGTTTCAGTTCTCCCCAGGTTTTGTTTCTGTGTAGCTCTCTAAAGGTCCACCATCAGTTTTTCTATCAGTTAGAGAGATGGACTTTGACTTGGCTGATGAAACACTTTAAGAGATTATTGTATGGATTACTGATGTCTATGGTATTGTGGTCCAAGTGATGACCCTGTTTTAGCTCTCAGATGGGTCTTATGTGTTCCAAGATCAATAAGTAATTATAACATATATAAAATTGTAACACTCATCTGTCAGAGAGTTGGTGCGAGGGTCGCCTTAATTTAACTGAACAAAAACATACTGAACTGTGCAGCACAACATGTTAAGGTTGTTGAAGTCAAGGGAACATAACTGACCAACTTCTATATTTTTAATAAATATATGCTTCTCTCTGCAAAGCATATATTTAATTTATGTCCAATGCAATACATAGAAGTGTTAAAAATATATATGTTCAGTAATCTCCTTATGAGTGACAGATTTTTATGAACCAAAAACAAGAAATATAACTAAATCCAAATGTTGGGATAATATTTTAAGCTAACCTCCTATTTAAGTCTGTAACCTTGTCTTTTTTTTTTTATTTCATTCATCTGCACGGGGAACCAGAGTGCCAAACAAATAAATAAATAAATCAACCAGCCAATGCCATAATGTCTTTTATAAAGCTTTTAAACTTTAGGTAAGGTAAGGAAAAAAAATATTGTCCAATCACCATTTTTTTTAATTCCACAATCTTTGTAAGGTAATTAGAATACTGAAAACAATTGTTTTGGAAAAACGTTTGTATTTTTGAAATATGATGTGTCCACTGCAGTGGACATCGGAACCCCATACATTTGCAATTGAACCTTGATGGCCACCAATTTGTCCCAAAGAAAATATCCAAACATCAACATAAGAATGAATTTAACATTGACAAAACTGAGCACTGTTGCCTAGAAAGAAGGTTCTGGGTTTGATTTCCAGCCTGGGGTCTTCCTGCATGGAGTTTGCATGTTCTCCCTGTGCATGGCAGGTTCTCTCTGGGTTCTCCGGCTTCCTCCCAGTCCAAAAACATGACTGTCAGGTTAATTGGCCTCTCTAAATTCTACCTAGGTGTGAGTGTGCATGGTTGTTTGTCCTGTCTGTCTCTGTGTGCGACAGACTGGCGACCTGCCTCTCGCCTGGAACATTAGCTGGAGAGGCACCAGCACCTCCTGACCCTAGTAGGGGACAAGTGCGTACAGAAAATGTATGTATGTATGTATGTATGTATGGATGGATGGATGGATGGATAGATGTATGGATGGATGGATGGATGGATGGATGGATGGATGGATGGATGGATGGATGGATACAGAAAAAAAACAGAACATAATTACAAATGTCCACTACAGAGGACAATTTTTCAACTTTTAAATACTACGATAAAATACAGTCAAAATAATTCGTAGAATGTTTTATTATGCTGCCAAGAGACTTATTTAGAATATTCCAACAAAATTTTAAACCAAAATTTGCACAATAAAAAGTTTTATGCACTTACTTTTTCTCTTCCCATAAAATGTGCTTTTGCTGATGAACGCCATTTTTATGAATGAGAAAAAGGTACGTACAACAGTCCCCCCCCTTCACATGTGGTATCATTAAAAAGCCCTAAGTGTCCTCTCCAGATACCAAAAGGAATTAATTCAGTAGTACACAGTGGGTGGGAGATATTCAAGTTTAGAAATGTCCTCTACAAAATATATAAAATTAATTATATGTTACAATGTAATTTTATAAAATAAGTTTGTGTTAAATTTACTTTTTCACAGCAAATCTGGGAAATAATAATAAATAAACAAAATCATGCATAGAATTGGAAATACTATTAAAATACTTGAAATTGAAAGCAAGCAATTTCCTTTCTTTGTGAAAGTGAAAATAAAGTTAACTCTCATGTCCTAATCCTAACGTATTTTAAAATGCCTGCCCACATGTACAAGAGCAACTCACATATCTGGTTTTAGTCTGTATATGCATATTATTCCTCTTTTTTTCTTTAAGTAAAATAAGAGCAGTGCCATCCTCCTAACCACCCCAATCCCTCGTAGGACTAGTTTCACATCCGTTTGTAAATGTAGAGGACATGCTGGCAAACTGGACAATGATGCTTCACATCATTACAGGAATCGAGGCAGAACGGGATACTGCAGCAAAGCCAGCACCTGGACGGGGAAATGAATATTGGATTCTGTTAGGCTTCTTGCAACTATAGTTATTTGTATTTTTAAAGAAATGTGGTTTTCTCCTGTAAGGTGTTAAATATCTAACAGGTTTTTACCCAAGCAAACACAACCCTGCACAGAGAGCCCAGGCGCACAGTCCTGCAGTTCTCCTTGTACGGGTCATCACCGTTTGCTGGCAGTGAGGACATAAAGTTTGTCCAGGAACATCTGACAGTACAGTTGATACTACCATAGGAGTTACTGAAATAAACAAAACACACTTGAATTAAAAATACATACATATTCTTTCAAAAATGATTAAATAATTTAAAAGTTTGTCAAATTCTTTCTTGCTTTCTCTTCTAAGATGAGAATGATTTTCATTAGATGTAGTGTATATATAATAAATCTGTATAAAAATGTACAAAAGCTTTTATAAATTTTACCCCAGATGATACTCTATGAAATCACTAATTTGCTCTAAATGTCATTATAAATAGGCCAGAATAGAAAATGCACTACATTTTTCAGAGCTCTATTCATGAAAATCGTTGAAAACCATAAATCTTGCTACTTCTACTTTACAATAATGTGCCAGTATGTGTTGGTCTGTCCCAAAGAATCCTTATAAACTACCAATATACTCATCAAACATGAAAAAAAAAAAGAGAGAAAAAATGTCAGAAGTTATAAATACTTTTGCAAGGTACTGCACGATACATACTGTATTTTATTTATCATCAAGAATCTAATGGGTTCTTTTTGGACAGTAAATGTGTTACCGGACCTTTGGCATTATCATGTTTCCATTCCGTCAGTGAGTTTCATTATAAGGAGAAATACTGCCCTGTAGTGGATGTAGGCAGAAGTTTGTTGCCTCAGAGCAACTGCAGTGAACCTTTGTGTGAGGAATATTTTGCAAGGAAGCAAAATATGACATAGAAGGCACTACTGGTTAATTAGCTCTGGCCCATAGGAAGTCACAATTATAGGAGGATAAAACAGTGTTTGCAGTGACTAGATGTCACCAGCAGAGGGCGGAGGTGCAACAATTTGTGATAATCCTCTGAGCAATGACAACCTCTAAATACATGTTGTTATCCAAATAAAAGAACCCAAGTTAAAAATGTAAAAAAATAAAACAATAATAATTAGGACTTTGGCTAGTGTTTCAGACTTCTCTAGAGTTTCATTCTTTCAAAATGGGATATATCAGTCATGCTGCAACTGTGCTTCAGTGGTTGTGGTTTCCAAAATAGAACGGAAACAGAATCAGAAATGTTACCATGTGAATACATCATTTGAAGTTGAAGTAGAACGTTTTGCGTGCTTTTGTTTAGCATATTCCTGTACAAACCATCAAAACACCTACTGCTGTAGCTTCTCAACCAGTATCTGCAGGAGTAGGAGTTTTGCATGCTTGTACAAAACATGCACCACCAAACCCTGGCCCACTGGAAGGCCAGGGTTTGGTGGTGCAGATTCCTGTGGGTGGGATCCTTTTTCCAAAAGCAATACCTGCAAAGATGACAGACACAGTTAAGCAAAACAAGGAACTAAGCGTCTCAAAACACTATAAATAACAAGCATATGCACCATAGTGGGTATGGATTTTTATATTTTTTTTTAAATAACATCCATACGTTTTCAATATTTTTGTCAAAATTATGTAAAATACAGAATGCTGTTAAACACAAGAACGAAAGGAATGACCACATACCTCCATGGTGTCCAGCAGGAACAGCAGGTTGAGTGGGGAAGCCTGGTGGAGTGGGGAAGCCTGGTGGAGCGTACATTGGTGGCTGGCCATAATCCATTGGAGGGCCAGGGTATGGTGGTGCCGATTCCTGTGGGTAGGATTCTTTTTCCATCTTCAGAAATCCAACCTATAAATCAAATATTATTTATTAACCATTTTATGAACACCATCCACTATGACCTTTGTGTTGTACAGGAAGAGCAAACAAATGAAAGCAAACTTCACACTACATTCAGTCATTCATGCATACATTCACACATGGAATGCTTTTATCTCAAATTATATGAGAACGATCAGCCACATAATGATGCAAGTGGGTATGTGGTTCCATTAAAATGTTGACATTTTAATGGCCTTTTTGTGCAAACGCCTGTTGTGGCTTAACTTTGTTCTTATATAAGCTAACTCCCAATGAAGATTTAAGTAGCACAAACTTAGCATTCTTTTTTTTTTAATTTAAGTCATTTAGAGGAAATTGCACTTTTCACAAATGTACCCAGGTTGAATGTTCAAACAACAACAAAAAGAAACACTTTCTTGATGGAATATCCCTGTTTCATTGCAGACAGGCCGACTGTGTTGATAAAAAGCCTTGCTTTAACCTCAATGTGAATTTCTCCTAAATCAAATAAAGCATAATGAGCAGTCCACTCATGAAGCAGCCTCTTTCTGTGGAGCATTCTGTATCTGCATCCCCCTGTGCGGCTCAGGAGAAAAGGCTTGTTTTTTAATGCATCTGTATAAAAGTGCATTTCAAAACACTGAAATGAATAAACATGACAGTAGCAGCTCAATGTTATTGGGTAAATATAAAATAAGTTTAACTTACAAGTTAATTTTTGTAGAAAAGGGAGGATAAACTGTTTTTCTAGTGAGTCTTCTTAGTCCTGAGTGATGAGAAACTCAGGAAAATCCCAGGCTGAAAAGTGGCTAGTTAAAGAGCATCTGACACTTCCTGTAAAACTATTGATTTTATTTCCTGGAACTATACAAGGCTCCACCTTCTTCTTTTCTCCATCTATGTAACCAGGCAAAGACCGCACTAAAAAAATAAGTAGTGCAAAGTGCACATCAAATGAAAATAGAACATTTCATGCAGTGGATTTTTATCTGTCCAAGATTGTCTTGTTCTCTTGGAAGCTGAACTGTCAGCCAAATCTGTGAGTGAAAAAGCTTACTGCAAAGAACAACTCAGTGATCAAAACACATTCAAATCTTTTTATTTTCCATTTTAAACCTTATTATACCAAACACCCAGTGTGTAACCACAGTTCTTTCCTGTCTAGTCATCATCTTCCTGTGGTGTCACACCTGTTAGCTGAAACAGTTTTTGCCGAGTAATAAATGTGCAAAAGTTTGACAAATACAAACAATTTCCATACTTTTTAACCAAAGATGTTCACTGCCCTAAATGTTTAAGAATGGTGAAAATCATGAAATTATTTACATGTAAATTTCAAATCAAATCATCGATGGGTACATTTCAAGTGAATTTCAAAATATTTTAAATAGATGAAATTCTAACTTATTGCTCTTTCTCTGTGACAACTATAAATACTAAGTGAGGAGAAATTATTCATGTCTTAAAATACGATTTTCCAGTCATGACCTTGAAATACAGAGTCTGAGGGTCTTCAAAATTCAGATGAAACATTATGCTAACCACTTTCTATTCAGAGATTGTGCTG